AAAAAGTTGTGAGTTCTCAAAGTTGCTTATAATATATACATACCTCCAGGCATGACACCAGTACCTCCAGCAATACCAGCAGCAGTATTTGAGACCAGATTACCATAAAGATTAGGAGTTACCTGTAAAATATGCTCTAATTCAAGGGCAGAAATTGAATGGGGAGGACAATAAAAGTTCATTGTGAAAGACTTATAGAACCATAGCATCTGTGATACTTAAATATGTACTCTACGATATAACAACATAGCTTAGTTTTTCCATAGTAGTTAAGGGCAAAATATGCACCCAGGCACCAAGATGCACTCGAGTTGACACATAACTCAATTTCCTAATTTTGGTATACAAGTGTTAATGGTGAGAAGTTGTAATTAGAACTAAAAATCCCTCATTCACAGTACAGTTAGTCCCAGTATGTCCATGACCATAAGGCATCATATCTTCTTTCTCAAATTAGCTCTCAGACTCGTATTAGTTTACATACACGAACTTCAAAACTAAAAGAAAGAGTTAAAAGTTGAGTAGTCCACCATCCTTTAAACTCACCTAGACTTACGTGTCTTTACAGGAGTTCAAACACATCAAATGGTGTTGGCATCATAACCGTGGATGCTCAGCTCAACCATGTACTTCTAGAAATTCAATATGGAAATGTAGATAAGTATCCTACTTCCAACCAAGACTGGCATATGGGTCGGATTTGAATGTTCAATCCATCAGTGGTCTCTAGTTTCTTTCTTCACATGCACCATCAGTGATCATTTATACTTCGTCCAAAAAAATAAAAAATAAAAGGAAAAAGAATCAACAATTTATAGACTATAGGCTAACAAATGGGCAATGAACTCTCTAAGGCTGATTGTGTAGACGTTCGTCCACATTTGTCAACAGAGCTGAGAAAATAAGCTCGTGATGTTCTTCAAGCAAATTCTAAAGACCAATCAAACAGCAATGAATGTTACTCATGTGCACCTTTGCCAGTATCTCATTAACCCATCGTCAACAGCGGATCAACAGATTGATTCACTTAACTACATCTTTAATTAGCATTTTCTCTTTTTCAGTCCTAACATGAAAAATTGGTAGAATGGGTATTAAGAAACAAAATTCATCATCATTTTTAGTCCTGTTTAATAGTGAAAACGATATCTTTCGATATCTGAATTAATAAAAAACCGACACAAACTGAGAGAAGACGAGCTCAAGACAATTAATTAATTTAAAAGTAACATCAAGTGGAGAAGAACCCTCCAGTGAGTAAATGAACTGAAAAGTAGATTGCCATTGTCCCTTACCATAACATCAAATTGCTCTGGCTTTGAAACAAGTTGCATAGAACAGTTATCCACAATCATTTCACTGTACTGGATACTGGGGTACTTGCTAGCAACTTCACGGCAGGATTCTAAAAACTGACCATCTGCAAGTTTCATTATGTTTGCTTTATGCACTGCAGTCACTTTCTTCCGATTATTCAGATAGGAATACTCAAAGGCATATTTTGCAATACGTTCTGAACAGAACTTTGTAATCACCTAGCAATGTGGCTAAATTAGGGAAAAAATAGGCAAGCAAGTCGACATAAAATTCGAGAGAGATTACAAGTGAAAAAACACTTATTCATTGGAGAATTTAAAAATTCCACAAAAAGGATTAAGAAGCAGCAATAATGTAAGTAGAATAATGTGGTCCCAACAACTTTAATCAGCCAACCAACTTTAGATACTTCCCTTTAAATTATGTGATGTATCATACATGAATCAATAGAAATATTCCGTAATTGCACTTTAAAATGGTTAATTCAGAAAAGAAGATGAGTAAAATAAAAGTACCACATTATAGTGATTGAAAGTATGCCTGATAAGTATTTTAAAGAGAACATAAAGTTCATCAAGAAGTTGCTTACAACATGGTACGTGAAATACTACAATTACCACAATAAACAGCACAGTTCAAGCAAGATTGACTATTCAATAGAATTTGAATTGAGTTGTGGAGACTGGAGATCGGACTTACAAAAGTTGAATAGATTTTTTACTAATTCAAGTTATAAAGTTCCAATTCCACTTTGCTGCTTGTAAGTCTGCAACATAAACTCAAAACCCCGGAAGTAGCTTATAGATTGTCCTATATTCAACATGCATTAAGCCTTGAAATCCATTATTATTTTTGCAGCTAAGAAATCATTAATCAAGTTCATTGCAGAGAGTGATATGAGATGCACACACAGCTTGCATCATTTTGAAAACTGGATCTTAAACTTATACGATCATCATTTGAATGCTAAAGAGAAATTTATCCCTGCATACAAATACTTGTCCTAATCTTTCACACCTCAAAAATTCGTTTTCATTTCATAGACAAAAATCCAAATAAAATTCCAGTTAAACTCAGTGCAAAAATATCATTAATTTTTTTCTAATTATAGTCTTGCCCTTTTCGTCATGAACTTCCTAGCAAATAACAGAACATAATGCGAGTTAATTCACAAACATAATTGCAACACTCTATAAACAGATATTACTAAAAGGTTTGAACACGGGTTTATGAGTGTTCCACGTGGATGGCAAACCCAACAATTCATAATCGTAATCTTGAATTTACAGAAAATAGGTCCAGTATCAAAATAAATGTTACATAAAACACAAAATTGACACTACCTTGAGGCTCTCAACAACACCGGGAACAACCTCGTGCTCAAGCCCCGAGTATTCTCCTTCAGTATTCTCCCGAATCACGACAATATCCACATCCTGGTGGCGCGTTGGGAGCCCCTGCAGATTAAAGCAGTGAACAAGCGATGCATAGAGATCAAGCTCTTTCCTCAAAAGCACGTTCAAAGAGCTAACACCTCCGCCGACAGGAGTCTTCAACCCTCCTTTAAGACAGACCTTGTTCTTCTTAATCGAGTCGATCACCTCGGGAGGCACACTCTTGGCGTCTCCATGGACCTCGTACTTCTGGAAGTAGACAGGGGCATGCATGGCCTCCATGATCTGCTCGACAGCGCCGGTGACGAGTGGGCCGACACCGTCTCCGGGAATTAAAGTAACGGGTCTCGGATTTCCATCGCCAGGTCTGGGCATGTAGGTGACGGATCGAGTGGCGGTCGTGGGGGAGGAGAGGATGCGTTTGAGGATTGGAAGGGTGCGTGGAGTCATTTTTATTTTGTTTGATTTCAGAAATTGGGAATTTGGGAATCAGAAAGAAAGTTGAAGGAAAGAGCGGGCAAGGAAAATTAACTATTTATGGATTAATATTAATTAATTAACTAACTATAGACCCGGTAGTAGTTATGGGTGGTCAGGTCGGGTCAATTTTTTTTTTT